CACCCAATAAAGCATTGCTATAATCTAGCCTTGAGGTCATGAACGCATGAATTAATGTTTCTGCATTTGACACTGAGAGCATAGGTCGTAATTTAGATATATTTTTAAGATGGAAAAATGCGGTTTTACAAATGCTAGAAACATATTTTTCAAAGGAAAGATTGCTATCAAATAGCACGCCTAGGATGACACGCCTAGGATTCCTAACTGATGACGAAGAATTTTCAGAATTTAGCAGTAAGAAATTACTAGCCATCCAGTTTTTTTATATCAACTATGCATTTCGTTTGTTTTGCAAATTGGTATGTTTCATCGGGTCGTGAAAAAATATAGAGCTGAGTATCATCAGCATAACAGTAAAAGCTAACACCATGTCTCCTGATGATATCTCCCAAGGGTAACATGTAAAGCGTGAAAAGTAAGGGTCCTAGTACTGAGCCTTGGGGTACTCCCCAAGCACTTGTGATCGATATGATACCTCTTCATTCACTGCCACGAATTGATGGCAGTCAAATAAGTACGATTTGAGCCATGCCAATGCACTTCCTCTAATGCCAACATAATTTTCTTGTCTTTTCAAAAGAATGTTGTGGTCGATAGTGTCAAATGCGGCACTAAGATCCAGTAGCACTAATAGAGAGAAACAACCAGAGGTGGGACTTTCAAGTCACAAGCAAGTCTTCAAGTCATATCCCAAGTCCTCAAAGAGTTAAAGTTAATGAGATAATTAAGTGACTAATTAAATGATGATTGTGCATTAGTGATGAACGCCTGCTGTTATTGAGAATTACAGAGAATTACAGATGTTTTATTGGTTAAATTTATGGCACCATCATGGAGATCAGTGTTTGCTTTAGTTGGGCTCTTGACCCTTGACTTCTCATGTTAGATCTCTCTTTATAGCACTGCATGTGGAGCAGAGAGATCAGCGCTGCACAGTGAGTGAGTCTTCGCTTTTTATATGATGAGGTAGTCATCATGAGCTGGCTTAATTGCAATTAAAAAAAAAAAATTTTGCGACATCAACCATGTGAAACAACATCATGCAAACAAAGTGCTGCTCCAATAGTTCCAGTGAATGCATATAAAAATTTGAAGTCTAGTGTTTTTTAGACACACACAGACATCAAGGACCAGCATATGAATCCCAACAATGGTGACAATCAACAAAATGCTTCATGCTGCAATGCATGCTGGTTAACACCATAGTAAAAACTCCCATCATGCACTGCAGTATGAATAATTAAAGGCAGGGTATGTGATTTTTCAAAAACACTTTAGAAAACTGATTCGGGCCGAATCGAAACAATATTGCAATCATTTAAGAAGCAAGTTTCTTTGAATTACTAAAAGGGTCAAGAGACCAACTAAAGCAAACATTGGTTATGTTTTACAGTGTTTGACAATTATGGTGGCATCTTGTGTTTTTTTTTTTCTTCTTTTTTTCTTGACCAATAAAACATCAACATCTAAACCTCTGTTTATTCTCAATAAGAGATTCTGCAGACATAAAATAAAGTCAGTCTGGTTAGTAACGAGTGACGCTGATGCTGTTTGTGGAGTTGTTTAATCAGATCTTGAGAGATTTAATGTTGTGTTTTCAGTTGATTTCATCCAAGGCAGTGGCTGAAGTCAGTTGTAGTTCTGAGGCCTCATGTATAAAACCTTACCTAAATTTCATCCTAAATGTGTGCGTACGCACAAAAACTAGATTTTGTGTACGTACAAAAGTTTTCAGATTTATAAAGCCATGCGTACGCCAGAACCTGTGCAAAAATCCCTTTGTAATACCCAGTCAGGGGAAGATTGTGCGTACGTGCATTTCCACCCCGTCTCCGCCCCGAAATAACCATATATGGAGCTTACAACACCTAGTTTTAATATGCATAACGTAATCTGCATATCATTTCCATGCTGACATCCACGTGACATGTTTAACACAGTTAAGGGTACAATACATTAGGAAAATATGAGATACGTACTATAAATGCTTTTTGAGACATCGCATTGCTATTCAAATTTATGCAAATTTGCCTATAAAGTAAACATATATTTTAGAATGTTTATAGCATAGTAATGGAAAGAGATAGGCCTTTTTTTGCAGTGTAAATAACTGTCTGACTCACCGTGTCAATGTCATTTTGAAAAAAAAACGTGCATATCTTACAGTTTCCTTCAAATTCTATCTTTTAAATATGGTGTTTGTCACAATATTGGGAAGAGCACGAAAGAGGTTATCATTTAGGTTACTGTCTGTCTGTGCGTGACACACCTGTGAACAGAGGTTCTACTGTCATCAAACCTGTTCAAACTAGCCAATGGACTGTTTGATCAACGAGCGCATCCTTATGTCTGTCGTTACTGTCTGTCATTATTTTCTCAGAACATGAGTTTTGCTATTTAGAACACAATTTAAAGCGGAATTATCATGTGCCAAGCAATCCTCGCTGTGATTAAAACATTAAATCGCATACCACAGGAAAATAGTTTGAAAGCAGCACATCCACTGCAAATATTTCTGTTTAAATTCATATAAAAATGTTGTTTTTCTGGATAATGGTTTCATGAAATTTCAGTGCTTAACTTCATTATTTAGAGTGTCATATTTAATCTAAATGTGTATGTCAAATGTAAAACAGACTTTAAAATCATTCTGTTTGCTTTGTTATTTTGATCACTCCAGTAAAAGAGTGCGTACGCATGGTCTAGAGTGTCCGTATGGTGCGCACATATTTACGCCTAGTTTATTTTTTATAAATCCCAATATGTGTGTACACACATTTCCATGCCCATTTTGTGCATACGCAACGTTTATACATGAGGCCCCAGGCCCCTGGTGTTTCTCTTTTCTTCAATGATGCTGCTTGTTAACAGCAGGTGTTCATCACTAATGCAATCATCACTTAATTAATCACAAAATTATCTCATTAACTATAACTCTTTGAGGACTTGGGATTTGACTTGAGACTTGAAAGGAATGACTTGGTCCCACCTCTGCTACAGAGTGTTAGAGTAACACTGAAGCAGTGCTGAAAGGGATAGTTAACCCAAAAATGAAAATTATGTCATTAATTACTCCCCACATGTCGTTCCAAACCCGTACGACCTTCGTTCATCTTCGGAACACAAATTAAGATATTTTTGATGGAATCTGAGGGCTCTCTGACCCTTCCAGAGACAGCAATGTAATTACCACGATCAAGGTCCAGAAACATAGCAAGGAGATCCATGTGACATCAGGGGTTCAGCCATAATTTTATGAAGCTATGAGAATACTTTTTGTTCGCAAAGAAAACAAAAATAATGACCTTTTTCAACAATTTGTCTCCTCCGCGTCACCCTAGTGACATATTGGAGAGTATCCACTGAACGTAAACGGCGTATGCTGCTCTGTGTCAGCCGCGCCACACGTATACGTTGTTGTTGTTCAAAGCAAAGTGTGCCGTATTCTTGTAGCTTCATAAAATTACGGTTGAACCCCTGATGTCACATGGACTACTTTACCGATGTCCTTTATATGTTTCTGGACTCGTGAAATGTGGCGCAGCTGACACAAAACAGCATACGCTGTTTATGTAGATAAGGTTTGTCCAAGTAATTGATTTTGTTTCTAGGCTTTTGAAAAAAAGTCTCTAAAGGGGTGAGGAAGTCACTAAATATAGTGGCACCATCACTAAATTGGCAACATTGGCACATTGACTACAAAAGTTATTAATATTTTATTGGTCGTCTTGTTTTTGCATGTGTTCATAATTTCTTTGTATGACAGCATGGCCAAAAATTATGACTGCACAATTTGGCATGTTTCAATTGCATTATCACAAATAACACAACTGATCTTAATCACCTATGCAATATGCTTACAAAATCTTACACATTTTTTTTTTTTTATTATGGGTGAAGATGTCAAATTCCCTAGGTCGGACATCATTTTTGGCCACTACTATATGGCAGTTTTATACATACAGGCCCAGCAATATCAGATATATTAGACCAGATTCCGGATGCCGAATCTCTGTCAGAAGATATCTTGTTTTGTCAGGTGTCCAAAACCAGTAAAACCTGCAAAAAGAAAGTCTTGTCTGGTACCCAAAACTCTATTAACAGTCTTGTATCAGCCTGAAAGTTTGAATGAGAAAGACAGGTAAGAGCAGAAGCAGACGACAAAGTTATGATAATACAAAGACCAGAGTTTATTGAATAATCATAGCTACATTATATGTTTCATGCTCAGACTTCATCTGAATGCCAATGTTTAAAAGCTCAGACTTAGTCTGGACAGCACAAATCCAACAAGTATTATTATACCAAAGCAAAAACAGTGGAAAAGTACTGCTTCACAACATTGTCCTGCAATGTTAAAAACCTTGAAGAAAGACTTTATCTTATCTCTTACAAACCATACAACCACAAGATTAAACAACAATAGCAAGCATTGTGAGAGATGGGAAATAAGTAAAAGAATAAGAGTGGGTTGCACCAATAAGGATTAATCTTAAATCTAGATTAAATGAAGGTTTATCTAATAATTCTGTTGCATCAAAATTTAAACCTTGTTTAAAAATAAGCAAGTTTACATTTAAACTAGATCCTGAATTTATTTTCTATTTAAAATAGATTAACTTTAATCCTGTTGCTCTCAAACTCAGATTTAAATCTCAATTAGGGATTAACTTTAAATTTACAGGTGAGGTTTAAATAAAATAGCCCACCTACAGTTACAATATGTGACTGATTGAACAAAGACAGAAACAGTGGGTGTGTCGTCAGGTCTCAGAGAGGTGTTTATTACAAATAAAAATGAAAATTAAAGTGCATTCTGAGGGTCTTGGCAGCCCGTAGTAAATTCAATTCAATTCAAGTTTATTTGTATAGCGCTTTTCACGATACAAATCATTGCAAAGCAACTTTACAGAAAATTACGTTTCTACAATATTTACAGTAGTAGTAGCTTATCAGTGGTGACTGTTAGTTAATGTACATATGGCAGAAGTGTACGGAAAAATCAATTAAAGACATAATCAAACAGACAATGAACACTATTAACAGCAAATATTATATGACGCAATTGTGGCCAAGTGGGTAAGTTCCCGCCCCTGTATTTAGAATGACAGCCTATCAGAACATGGTACTTGAGATTTAAAGGCTGTGATTAGGCTCCCTGGGATGCGTCATTGCTAGCTCCGCCCCTTGGTGTGTGTGGGTTTCTGCCTAAAAGGTACGTTTTTAGCTGTTTGGCTAATGTTGCAGGAGCTCGTGCATATCAATTAACCATTTTTATTTATTGTAGCTGGAATAGCATTTTGTTCGCGGTGGTGTGTAAGGCTGTCATTATTCTCTGGTAGGTTTAGTTTGATTAATCGTTTGTGTGGAGTTCACGCTCGTCATAACTTGCATGCTCTCATTCCAGCTGGGTTGAGTCCATTCATCTTCCAGTAAACTGCTGAGAATTGTGCTGTGAGCAACTGTATAACTTATGTGTCCCGGTGACCAATATTTGGTATGTATAGTTAAATTTTTAATCAGTGATTTGATTAAGTAAATTAATGGTTTGTTTTTAGCAGGACGAACGATTTCTTTGGGAGCGTTCCCTCTTTTGGGGGTTGGGGTGATCGCTTCCTGCATGGAACGGGATTAAGACGACGCTGCTGTTTTGCTGTGTGTGTGTTTTTGTTTTGTTGTGCCATTGTATGATTTGTTTTGTTTATTGTACTTTTTCTTTATTACTGATTTTGTATCCTGCTCAGTTTGATTCTGGTTATTTTGTAGTTTATTTTCATAAACCTTTCGCTTTTGTATTTCTTTGGCAATTGAGTATTGTGTATTAATAATTCCGGTATTCTGTCTTCTACAATCAGGCTCTAGTCTAGTATAACTTTGTTTAGTGTATTTGATTAATTGTTTTCGTTTGCGTGAGTGCATGTGTGGTTTAAAGGGGTCATATAATGCGATTTTCAAGTTTTCCTTTCTCTTTGGAGTGTTACAAGCTCTTGGTGCATAAAGAAGATCTGTAAAGTTGCAAAGACTAAAGTCTCAAATCCAAAGAGATATTCTTTATAAAAGTTAAGAGTCAGCCACGCCTACCTAAAACGGCTCGTTCTAACACGCCCCCACATGTCTACGTCACTATGTGTGAAGATTTGCATCACAATCACTCTACAGCTAGCCTACCCGGCTACTTAGCCGTTCTAGTTACTTGTCTTTATGTGGTGTACTGAGCCGTGGTTGTTTAGCTCATTTGAGCTACATTTTTTTCTTTGTTTTGTGTTTTATCTGATTATTGTGAACTTAATAAACATTTTGTATATTGATACCTATGTCTCTGCTCTCCATAGTAACGAACCTGTGTGTCTGATTTTTTACCAAGTATTCAGTTTCCCTTACTTTAAAGGGGTGGCATAGTCAGCATTATTACGTTTTAAGGTTTTGGTATTCATAGTGTAATTTACCCCCTGTAGCTACACTACA